CAGTCAGCTATAAGCCGACAGCACAAAAACCGTTAGCCCCAGCAGTTATTCAGCTGGGAACACTGATGCTCTCAGCCACCAGCCCTGCAGTACGTACGTGCTCTGCTATACAGCCAAGTAATTCCAAATGACACGGCTCCTCCCATCCCCTTAAAACAAAACCGTAAACCCAAGCAGATTTGTCATGAAACCCTCAATGTGAAAGAAGCATCTAAAGTCATGTCGTATGTACAGCTACCCATTTATATATTTATGTATAATGCTACTCATTTATGGGACAATTAAAACTTGTTTCTTTGTACTGAATGATGAAAATTATGTAGTTTACACAAACTTGGTAATTTGCTTTCATTTTCTGTGGAAGCTCTTGACTTATCCTAAAATTTATAGTTACTTTCAGGTTCACTAAATACCTGAAAGTCATTATTAATCATGCGCCAAAAAGCATGAAAGGAGAAACCAGAGTTATTTAAGGAAAAAGGTAAATACTCATCACTGAATTTTATCATAATACAGATGTCTGACCCTTGTTAATCTGGAGAAAGTTGGCTAGTCATAGAAATCTAGCTCTTCTTCCAGCTACTTTATTATCTTAAAGGGTGTAAAAATACATCTCTTCCCCTAACTTTTCCTTCTTCTAAGCTGCTGAAGAAAGTGGGAGTTTCTTTGTTGAAATACAGTCATTTATATTACCAGCTGTTCAGCTGATTCAGTTATCCAGAGAGACACGACCAAATTCAGATTTAAAAACAGGACAAAAAAAAAGAATTACACATTCAAATAATTTTGCCTGAACAGCCATAATCAACATTCAGCTTTTAAAATGCAAAGGCCATTTCTATTGTAGAAACACAGAATTAGACACAGCAAATCAGTCCAGCTGTCTATCACGTCTGGTATTCTGCCTCCAAGCACTGCCTTGCTTCATAAGGAGGAATAAGAAACAGTCTTGTTGCAATTGGCTATTGCACAATGCATTACAGAGAAGAAAAATCCTGATCTTGCACATAAAAAAAATCACTTTCTTAGCATAAACAAAGATAAGTGTTATTTATTATCCTTCATGAGAGAACATTATAGTACTTTTGCAAACATACAGCATAATTCATTAAACATTTCAAGCAGGTGTCACCCCCATTCTGGGGTTCCCATACTGGGAATATATACAGGTCTTATAGGTCCATAGGGCTATGAAGTCCATAGGTGTCTGAAACATTAGCAAAACCCTGGCACCTTGCCCATTCCAACATATAAGCTCTGTTTCTCAAAGCACTGGAAGAGAGCAACCTGAGCCAGACACCAAGTTTTCCCATACAGAAGATTCTTCCCTTCTCCCTGCTTTTCTCCCGGTCACAATGTGAATCTGTTACATTAACACTGAAAACACAATGAAAACACGCACAGCACAAACAAATCCAAAGCAAACAAGCAGCTGCTCAAGTACTGGAAAAGACCATATCCAGCTGATGACTGAAACCAAGAGGTAAGTTACCACTATCAGTTTCTTTCCTGATCAAAGCATTACATTCAACTGCACTCAGCTACAGCTGATAATGCTTTGAAGTGTCTAGTGATAAACCAGATAGAATTCACTTAACAGATCATCTTTGGGTGGAGAGGGAGGTTGGCACAGGCTTCTTAACATTATTCTTCCAGCAAATAATTATTTTCAGTAGAACCAAAACAACTTAGAGCAGCTGCTTCTGTAACCTTTCCCTAAGTGTACATAAGATGCCACAAACTCTCCAAAATGAAGTTACCTTACCCTTTACAAACATCTACCTTTCTAAGTGACTGTAATAGGACAATTTACCCAATCCTTCCCAGTGTTTTGTTTCATTCTATTTTCATTTACATGCAAGTATTTCTTTTGCTTGCCTTGAAATTACTTGTCATTCTCACATTCTCTCCCATCTCTCTTCTGTCATGTCTCCAGTTTGTCATATTTGTTTTCATGCAACAGCCTACTTCACACTACTCCACAAAGCACTCCTTCAGGACATACTTTACTACAGCATTTCAGCCCTACTGCTGCAAGAAAATCACCGTGTGTTTCTGCCATTACTAGGCTACGGTATGTAATCTAGATGCAAAGATCCTATTTGGGCTATTTCATCCTACAGTACGGGAGGAAAGATGTGCCAATAGGGACACCAAAAGCTATGTGGTCCCTATTAGTGAAGTGCTACAAGCAAGCTCTGCCTCTCTAGACTAATTGGTTCAAGTCCAACACCAGGAGGGCAGCATCTAAACTTGTTCCCGGTTCTCAAGCTGGCTCAGGCATTGCTGCAACATGCTCCACTCTGCAATGTGGACACTACCAACGCTTCTTCCCTAGTAGTATTGACTGGTCCCAACCTCCATTCTATTTATGCCTGTAGAATAACACTTGACAAGAGAACAAGATGCCCCTCCAAGTGTATGTGGTTGGGGAGAGGAAAACTAGCATTCTTGGTGGTGTCCCCCCCCTCCTTTTTTTCTTTTCTCCTTTTTTTTCCCCAAAGCTAAAAGTGTGTCTGCCCTTCCCTCACGCCCCACAGGATGGGAACAGCAGATACTCTACTCTTCCACTACACTCTGGCCTTTTCCCACATTTTTTTTTGGGGGGTGGGGGAGGTAGGGTGGGGGGGTGGTTTTTTTTTTTTTTAACATCCAACCAGAAGAACCACTAACACTGCAATTTGCACTGGGCCTGATACTAACATACCTGTCAACAAAGCGTAATAGAAGAGAATAACACACACTCAAAAGGGGAAAAAAAAAACCAAAAACATTTTCCATCTCAACTAAATTCATTTCTCCAAAATTTACAGAGTCATTGTCCGGCCTAAGAAAACGAAACGCTGTGCTTTGCTCAATAATTACTGTCAGTGTCTTTCCTACAAACATTCATAGCTCACCTCATACATGCATTAGCATTCTGTGCTAACACTAATCATTCTGGTATAGCTAAGCAAACAAGTTACAACATAGTAAACACAGGCACAGCTTTGTGATGTTTTAGCTACTGTGAGATAACTTATCACATAACATGCTCTGCTTGTGCAATATATGTAACGTAGTTTCCTTTTCTTCTAAAATCTTTAAGGAAGCAATGTGGGTAAAGGCAGTTCCCATTACTAACCAGCACATCAAATCTGAGCATTCATTTCCTTCATGGCAACTCTTTCATACAGCCAGTATCCTGAATTTCCTCTCAGGAAAAATCACTACTGCTACATCATAATCTCAGATTATCCCGTATTTTTCAGCTTCTCCTTCTAGCTCTTTCTTCCTTTCCTTGAATATCTAACTTCAGAGCAACTGTACAAGCTAGGATTACAAACATACAGTTATCTGACATTAGAGAATATTTTAATTTAGAACAAAAATCCATTAATCTAAACATCTAGTGTCTATGAATTTTGTGAGAATTAAAACAAAACACACATACATAAAGAACTTCTTTCCTTTCTTCTGTTACCCAGTTTGCCGACGTCAGATTACAGCAGACTGAAGGCATTTATTTAATCAAACCCACCATTTCCCAGGAGCTCTCCAAATAACGCATCAAAAATGGTAACACCCAGCGTTGCCCATACAGAATTTCTAACTAGTTGCAGTATTTTCAGCCACATTCGAGAAGAAACAAGGGTGGAGTCATACTGTCAATGCCAGAACATTTTACAGAGTATTTTGAAAACCAATTAGATGTCCAGGATGAACATTTTGTTCACAAAGAGACCTTAATCAAAAGCAAGTATTTCAACAATTCTATCCTGATCTTTTTTAAAAGAATTCATTTTACCACTGACAGAAAACACATTCTGAATTTGAGCTTGCAAGATAGCAAGTTCTACTAGCGCATTTTAAAATACATCAGGGGGAAAAAAAGCACTTTTGTGTTTTAACCTCCTGCTCAAAGCATAAAGGCACTTAAAACATTTCTGAATTAGGAAAATCTTAAAGTGAGGTATATATAGTTGCCAGGAAGTCAAGAAAAATGGACAGTAAAAGACTACCAACTCAAGAAATGTCAACCAGTCTAATGAAGACTAGCAAAAATGAGCAGGGGCACAGGAGTGCAACGGAGATTGTCAACCCATACATATAACCTAGATGAAACTTCTCATGAACACACACCAGAGCCATTCATGTAACTTCAGAGCTTTGTGGTAAACGGCACTACATTCCCTTTTCAACAAGGACAGCAGAACAAAGGAAGTCCAACCTCAGGACGCAGTGGCAATGCGCTTTGATACAGAAGGGAGGAGAACTATAGAAAAGCCCTCTCTATCACCTTCAACAATACCCACAAAGCAGAGATCAGTTGAGAATAGAAATGTTCATAACAAATTTCATGGAAACAACCAAGAGGGGGGTGGGGGGGGAAACGGGGGACATGACAAAAGAGCAGCAAAATGAGAACAATGGACTTCAAGTAAGAAGAATTCAGTAAACTTAAAAATGTGGGTAAAAAAAGATTCCCACTAGTGACAGTGTAAGGGAAAAAGGCTCACAAGACCAACAAGTCCTTTAAGTTAGGGGCATCTCAAAGGAAGAACAGGAGAAGTAGATGCAAATTGACATAATCAAATAGCACATACTACAGTGACCTCAAACACACAAAAAGAAGCAAAAGTAACTAGAAAAAGTCAGGCCACCAGTTGAAATACAACTAATATGGACATAAGGGTAGTAGCAACAAATATTCCATAGCATACATACATCAGGAGGGAAAGCTGATCTGCAACTCAGTAGGGAAGAAGAGTTATTAACAGACCTCAAGAAGCTCTTAATATGTCATGCTTCCTTCTACCACCCGCCCATCCTCATTATAAAAAGGTCAACTTCAGACAATTCAAACACATACCTACACAGGCATACAAGCAGGTTAAAACTAGTATTTTGATAAATTAAACAGTACCTGCTGTGCTGATTTGGCAGTAAGAGAACTAGCTACATCCATGTTTGAAACCGCAGAGGACAAGTGAAGTTCCATAAAGTACTGGAAAAGGCCAAACACAGTAATTGTCTTTAAAAAGAAGGAGGAGAACAGAGAAAGCTAGAGAGCTACGGGTCAGTCATTTTAACTTTGTAATAGTCAGTAAATGCACAGAAAACAAAAGCAATGAACTCAACTTCCTGAGAAGGAGAAAAGTACAGGCACATATTCCCTTCCATAGAAGCAACTGAGCATATGAGAGCGCGCTCCAAGAATGCAAGAAGTCTTGCAAGAAGGAGCAAGCCCTTGTAGCACAGGGAACATACCTATACAGCAGAGGGAAAAGAAGAGCTTCGCAGAAAACTTTTCTGATAGTGAGAAGTGAAAGTTAAGCCAGGGACTGGAAGCAGTTCATCTCAGCCCCCAGGAATCAGACAGGGTTGCAAGGACTGGCAAGAATCAAACTGCACTTGGTACTAACCTTCGCCCCACAGCTTGTTGGCTTTCCTATTTAGGCAAGTTACTTCACCTAAGTGGAGTATTCTTAAAAAAACAAAAACCACCTTAATTTCAGCTGCTGGCAACTTTTGGTTCTCTTATGTTCACTGTTAAAAGCTACTCCCATTCTGGAGCCTAACTGCTGACCCAGGCTCCAGTTTCAGGAGTCGAAAGAGATCAAAACTGATGAAATCCAAACAAGACCTCTGCAGCCATGTGTTAAATGAATAACGATGGGACAAGATAGTCATCATGGCTGAAAGAGACCGCTATAACACTACAGACAAGAAAAAAACAGGCTTCAGGAATTGTTTTTCAGGATAAGCTACATCTGAGAGATCTCTGAAGAACATTAAAGCTAAGTCTTACATCATGACTATGCTTAAGAGGATCTAGTTGAAAATGACAATGAAGTTACAGATCTAAGACTCTAGCATTCTGCAAAAACAGACTGTAGATAGCAAATCAAGGAAGAAAATAAGGAGCAAGCAACTGAAGGAGAAAGAATAAGTTTAAAAATGGAGTTTTACCCTCACAACTTCAGTTTGCAATCATGCATCTGTATGGCTGCCTAAAAAAAAAAGTCATGCCAATGATTTTAGCATAGCCAGAAAGATGTGTGTTTTCACTGGAGCTGTGACAAGGGAAAGA